TCCCCAAGCAAGGAAGAGTCGATAACAAATTGCAAAGCTATAGCATGGAAATAAGAGGGAACTCCAGAATGTTCCAAGAGAAAATAAAGGGGCAGTAGTAACACACTGGATTTAAACTTCTCCCAAGATTATTCTGAGGCCATTAGGGCTAAGGACTATATCTATTTATTACATTTCCTAGTGTTAACTAAAAATAAATGATTTTTACTCCACCTAACTCCAGAAGGAATTTTAAGGTAGCCAACTACTTCTAGAGTCCACACTGTTTCATGTCATGCTACACGCTCAAAACTACTACCAGGGACAATAATTCAACTCTGTTTCTAACAGCTGAGCATGGTTCCTGACACGGCATTAAAAATTTCAGGCAACTAACTTGAAAATTTATATGCCTCCCACTTAAAAATCTTTCAGGTTGTTCCACATTGCTTTGTACATGCTGCCACTTCTGCTTAAACTATGATTCTCTCAAAGTGTGGTTCTCCAGCACAGCATCAGCATCACCTGGAAACTTGTTAGAAGAGCAAATATTTGAGCCCCATCCCAGACCCTAAGAATCACAAACTCTCAGAAGGGGCCCCACATTCTGTGTTTTAACAAGCCTTCCATGTGATTCTGATGCACAGATAAAGTCTGAGAACCACTGGCTTAAAACAACTTTCCCCTTTTTCCCATTTGGTTAACTTCTACTCATCCGGATGAAGTTCCATCACCAATTCCTCCTTTGGGAAGCCTTCTCCACTGTCCCAACTCTGCCACTCCCAGATCTAAATTAGCTGAATCTTTGTGTTTCCATACTATCTGTGTGTCCCTCTATTAGAGGGGACATCACACTGTGCTATTGTATATCTTTCTACTTGCTTTTCTGTCTCCTTACTAGACTATGTTTTTGGAGGACAGGGACCATGTTATTATTACCTACATCCCTGCTTTATAGCACAGTGCCTGGGATAAAAAATTAACAGTAAATAATGACTGAATGGATGAATATTGCAAAAGCCTAGTATAATTCAATCACAGCCCACAAAGGTCTCTTTTAACCCATAGCATGGCTTAACAATAACACTAATTTCTCAAAGGCCATTTATACATGTTTCAATTGTGAGCTTGAAAATTTATCATGCCAGGAAAACAACTACCATAACAAGTCAATAGTTGAGCTGAATAAAACCTATATATTGAAACTTCAAGGTGAACATGTGGAGGAGGGAGGAGAGTGGCACACCCAGACAGGGCACAGAAACTCCAAGCCTCTTCCCATGTGTCTCATGCTATGCATCTCTTCCACTTGGCTGTTCCTGAGTTGTATCCTTTATAATGAATTCGAATTGAAGCTGGGATGTGTAAAGGCTGCCTTGTGACCATGAGGATAACGGATGATCACTGAGGTGGCAGAGCAGGAGCACAAAACACTTGGTCTCTCTTGGCATCTTTGAGCCACTTCACTATTCCTTAGTAGTCTACCTCTGGTACTTCCTTTTGCATGAGAAAAATTAACTTCTTACCGTATTTGTGGATTTGTCTGCTGAAGCCGAAAGCAAGTCTAGAACCTAATACAGTGATTATTTTTAATTTCAAGGTGCACATGGAGAGAAATTAAAAGAAGTACCCAATTTAAAAAATTCTACTGAATTTTGAAATTCAATATTGAAAATTTCCATTATCATATAAGTAAAACTATAAATGTGGGGACAAGCTAGCATAGCAGCCATGTTGCTCTGCTAAGGAAAAGAGAATTCTTACCTTCCTCCCACCTCTTCCCTAAAATAGGAATAATGCCTCCTTACCAGTTGCTAATGGAGCACACAGCCATCACCCAAACTCAGTTATTAACCTCTTAAAAGGCAGAAGATTATGAAAAATAAAATGAGACCTTTCTTCAGGACAACAATCTTGTTAGGGTCCACATGCTGGAGCACTCCCTCAAAGATGCCACAAACCAATGTGAGTTTCACCCTTCTCCACAAAATCTGATTCAGGAAGTGGTAGTCACTGCTGGGATCCATGCTTTTAAATTCTAAAAGCAGTCTTCAAATAATCTTCTTTAAGTATCCAAACACTTGACAATAAAACAGATCTATGGTTTTTAAAGTATTTGGGGGGTGGGGGAGGGGTAGTGGGGCTATTTACCCTTTCCCCATACCTGGAAGGAAGAAGAAAAATAAAAACATGAGAGTAACTAAGTTTTATTCATCTTTTTAGAATGATAAAAGAAAAGGATCATTGCAAGTACCAACTCTAATTTATACATGAGAAACTGAAAACCGGAAGACTTCAGGCAAGGTAGGTTTGGCTTCTCGGTCTATAAAATAGGGTAATACCACCTTTCTTTCCTTAGCTAAATGAACAAGCAGAATATTTAGAGGCTTTTTAATGGCACATACATATATCTTTTTAACACCAACCAAAAAACAACTAAAATTTAAAAAATGGATACTGGCAAAACACTTGCTAATACATGCTGCAACAAATTGTTTACCCAAAAATGTAAGGGATCTAACCTCTTCTGGATCTGGCCTCTTCTAGATTAGTAACATTTCCAGAGTTTGACATTGTTACCAAGCGAAGAGTAAGTGATTTAGGACTATCACAAGTTATGCATTACCAATCCAACTTCCATGGCATTGCAAGGGCCCCTTCACCCAACTCTGACCACAGCTCAGGGACTGGGCTGCTGTAGTATCATCAACTAGTCATGTGCAATCTGACAGATTAAACTGCCACATGCCATACAGTGGTTTTGTAAAATTCAACTGTTTTTGTAAAAATGATGTGTGCTCTTTATAAAGAATGATAACAATGTAGAAATGTACAAATATTTTACCTTGTAGAAATAACTATCATTCATAGTAGATATATATATTCTTTAGTATACTACTGTAATTTAAAAGATGAATGCTTTTTTAAAAGTATTTTAGAACAATCCTGTTATTTGGGTGTCCTTATAGTCAGAATCCCAGATAAATGTTCCTCTACAGTGGTTTAAATGTAAAAGCTGCTTGTCTTTGCCACACTATCGTGTCAACCAGTGAATTTTGCAACTTACTTTAACTATAAAACACTGATGAAATAATGAGGCCTAATTCAACTAGGAAGGTGAGAAGTTACACAGCATTTTAGCCAGATAAATAATGTATATTTTTATATTTTAAGGTCTAGCAAATGGTTGCACAAATGTTATTTGCTGCCTATAACAACCATCACCTAATTTACAGATGTAGAAACTGAGGCCTAAAGATTAAAGAAATCTGCCTAAAGTCACACATTTAGAAAGTAATGAAACCCGAATTAAAAACAGGCCTCTACTGGAGGGTACGTACAGTCCAGAGCAAGACCAAGTGTTACGTATCCAGAGAGAACATCAAACAAACAAGTCACCAGAGCACCTGAGAAAATAATGCTTTTTAGTTCAAGTCAGTTCAACAAGCAAAAGGGGAATTTTTACAGAAGCAATAGAGTATATAAAACTGGAAAAAACAGCCCTTAATAGAGGGTAAAAATAATTTATATTTAAAAAATATATAAGAAATAAAAGTCTGTGAAATGCTTGGGCAGTAAGGATATTTAAGAAATGTTAAATTAGAAAAACATTAACAAAGCAAAGAAAGCTTTGACTGAGGACAGCTGCAAATGGTTAAGATTCAAGATTAGGAAGGAAAAAAGTAAGGTAAGGATCTAGACATGGGCTTCAAGGCAGACTCAAAAAAGGGACATTGATGTCGCAAACATAAAGGTTTTTCTACCATACTCATTTCGGAAGATGAATATACTCCTGTGGCACATGTCACACTGCATATGAAGGCAGACGTCATCGGTAGGTCCGACATAAGCAGATCACAAAAACAACTCGGTGAGACTAGAACCTCAGTCTCATGCTAAGCAGCAGTCAAAGCCTTACGTCAAGCTTTAAACTAGTAACCTAAGTTGGCTTGGGCAGCTTGCTAAGAAAGTCCCCTAGTGTTTAGGTACTAAGTGATGGTGGTCAGAACTTGTTTCGTCCATATCTCAAACCGGTTCTGTACAAAAGGTTAATATCGAGGGACGGGGAAGGGGTGTAAAGGCATTGAAGCTACAGGAAAAGAACTGGTTCACCTGAGAGGGTGTACTAATTTAACTAGTGGCTTTAAACGTTTTCAGGAAAACACACAAAAATATGCCACAAGGTAAAATGCAAAATTCCCCATTTTTAAAGCAAAATAAGAAACTGCAAATAAATGGTGGGCCATACGCTAGGAATTCACTCTCCTCTGCCGTCAGGGGTTTTTTTTTTTTCCGAAGGAAGTTTGGGAAATCCTGTCTCAATTTCGGCCGAATGGTGAGTTCCTCGAGCTTCAGCGAAACTAAAAATAAAAAATAAAAATAAAAAGAGGGACTGCTGTTAAGAAAAACTCGCAGCCAGTTCCAAGCTCGCGGTGGCGGTTATCAAAGGACTAGAGAAAAGTACGCACGGCTGAGGACCGCACAGCTGAGCGGAGGCAGCCCGACAGTTTCCAGAGATACCAATCGTCGCGCGACCTCGACTTCTGAGCGCCCCCTGTGGCCGGAAGGAGAGAGGAACGCCAGGAAAAATGAGGAGGTGCAACTCCCAGCATGCTGTTCCCAGGAGGAACACCCTAGAGTTTCCCCCAGCGACGTTTTGTCTACTTACTTTTATTATTTCTCTGAGCAATCCGTTCCTCCCGGACAGTGGGATTTCTAGTGTTAGAGTTCTGTGAGAAACTGCTTGGCTACATTGCTAGCCACAGGTTAGTTTGTTGCAAAAACGGTGAGTCAATGGCGTTGCCCTTTTAATTGCGGTCACTACGGCCAGAGTGGCATTGCCCTTTTAAGGCCGGTTGCATCACGGTTCCGGAGGCGTGGTCCGTCTTTAGCAAGACCCAGCCTGGCGCTGGGCTGATTCATTCCGGGGCTGGAGCTGGGGGAGCCGACGTCGCCTCCTGCGCTGGGCTCAGCCTCGCTTCTAATTGGCCACCTTCGGGGCCGCCCTCCTGCGCGCACCAGCCCTGGGTTCCCTCCGCGGTCCGCACTGGTAAAGCTATCCTCTTCCTTCTTGACCCCTGGCGGTTCCTCCCTCCCTTCCTTCCCTCCCGCTGCCGCCGTCGCTTCTGGCACCACTGCTCCCGGAGGAGCCTTCCGGCTGGGTGATGGGGTCTCGGGCCTCCACGTTACTGCGGGATGAAGAGCTCGAAGAGATCAAGAAGGAGACTGGCTGTGAGTTCGGGTCGGGGGTAGTAACGCGGTCGAGCGCCTCCGGCTGGCTTCAAAACGAGGGCGGCGGTCACTAAGATGTGTAGCTGGGGTTGCGGTCCTGGGCAGCCTCCAGCGCTGGGGCTTCGGGGCCAAGGGCTGGAGGACCTGTTCCAGCTAAAGCTACCTGGACAGGGGTTCTCACTCTTTATAGGGCTGTCCTTCGCCTCAAAAGCGGGAGTCGCGACCACCCTAAAGCAGACACTGCTTTCTCTTCTTCCTGCTCATGAAAGCCCCTCAACCGATCTTTTTTCTTTTATCTTTACTCTCATCAACCTCAAATTCAGGAACTCTGGATGGACCCTATAGAAAACATAATCCATTATTGTGACATTTCTGGGCAAAGACTTAAAAACATTGACATCTGTGGGAAATCACAAATTCTTGCCACAATTGGAAAAACAAACACAGAAAGTAAACTTGTGTAGTAAAACTTTGGAAGACGTGACCTGGTAACAGGAGACCTTTAAAGAATCAGGGGTCTGCGAGTAAAAGACTTATGAACTTGTGAAAAAGCAGATACCTTAACCACCCGTTTTTACTTACACTGAGGATGCTTGCTGTTCTAATTTCACATATATTGATTTCTACTGTGCTGGTGTACTTTATGCAGTCGTTATGGAAATTGGATGCGCTCCAGCGATCTCAGTGTGAATTTGTACTAGGAACTGATTCTTTTCCTCATTAACCTGAACCAAGGGGCAACAGGGCTTTGGGAATCCAGAAGCTCTGTAAAACAGCATAAGATACATTTATATAGCCCTTGATAATGCGTACAATATTTTCTCTTCTTGGTAATTCAACTCTTGTATTTTACATGAGTTACGTAAGCATCTGAGATTTTTTTTTTTCATGATACCTATCTTTGATTATTAGGTGACCAGTAAGTAACTCGGTGGCCTATATGCAGATAATATTGAAAGATGCTGGGAGAACTACAGAATTACTCAGGCAGTGGTGGCTTGAGATAAATTAAATGCTGTCCTGTGCTTTCTGACAAATTCAACTTTCTAGAACGTTCTAGTTGGAAGGGATGTTATCTGGCTCCAGTCTTTGTCAGAGTGATTTACTGCTTTCAACATACCCTAACATATGGCCATTAAGCCTCTCCATAAAGACCTTTAATGGTAATGAGATCAACACCTACCAACACAGTCTCTTTCATGATTTTAAATGAATGAGTTAGCAGTTTATAATGTGCAGTATTTGGCCATTTGACCTTATGGTCTATTTATGACATTTTAACTCCAAGAGCAGAAATATAGGCAGTTTGGATTTAGTAAGCATTTTACTACATTTTGTGGCCATGACTCCTGGCCACACTTGTAAATATAAGAACTACGTTAGGTCTAAGGTGACACCAGAGTTAAAGCATTTGTGCCTAAAATTAAAAGTCACATTAATGATGAAGTGTAAACCATAGTGAGGTTGGGAAAAAGCTATATTTGTTTCAAGATGAAGGGACCAGTAATCTCATTCTGATTTATTTACATTTGACCAAGTAAAAAAGGACTGGATTGCTATAGGACTCTGGGTTATTTTACTGTGTAACTTGTGGACACATAGAATTAAGTATTGCTCAAGAGTTGTTTTCCTAGTTCTCCCAAATGAATCAAGCCTGAGGGAGATTCTTAACCATAACCAGTGCAAATGTATGTGTACTGAGCCAGAAAACCTAATGAAACAAGTGCTTATTGAATTTTTGCAATGTCTGTGTTCACTACTATGCTGATACTCAAAGCGGATGGTGACAAAAGACATCCACAACTCGGTCATGGAGATAATCCCAGAAGAGTTAGGATTAGCATCACAACATAAGGTAACTGAAATTGTGTTGCACCCCACCTGCAGAACTCAGAGAAGACAGAGGCCTTGTGGGGCTGGTCTTGTGGAGGACAGGCTTGATACAAGCATGAACAGATTAGAATTGCATAAATTAGGATATTATGGGTAGTTTATAGGAGCATTACCCCCTAGCCTGGTACGCAGTCATTCCTCCACCCTGGGAGTTGAGCCATCAGTTTATCCCATCAGTAGAATTGATTTTTACTTTATTTTTTTAATAATGTTTTTATTTTTCAATTACAGTTGACATACATTATCATATTAGTTTTTGTTGTACATCATAGTGATTAGACGTTTATAAAACTCACAAGTTATCGCGATGATAAGTCTAGTACCCATCTGACACCATACATAGTTATTACAATATTATTGCAGAGTTGATTTTTAAAGCAGTAATTTTAGCATGATGCAAAAGGTTTAGAAGAATAAAAACATACCTGAGGGTGGGGTAGAGAGATGGAATTTGTCCTATTTTCATCTGCTGCTTTTTTCCATTAAGAGTTTGGGGAACTATCAATCAGAAACTTCAAATTAAGAGCAAGTATAATAGTTCACTACTCCCTTTGCCAGTAAGAAAGTGTAGCATAATTGAGGAAGACTGACTTTACATTCAATATGAAAGCTTTGCATTGCAATTGATGATTATATTTATACATTCTTCACAAGTCTAAACTGATTGGAATTTATGCATCACTAGTTTAGCTGGTATTTGAAATTTAATCTCTAAATGATTCTAGGAAAGTAATTCTAGGTAATAATTACTTGTAAGTCTCAATTTCATCATCTATAAATGGGAATAATAGTACCTACTTTATAAGATTCTTACGGGGATTAAATGAGATAAATTATGTAAACTATTTAGAATAATGCCTGGTATATAACATGCCAGGTAAGTGTTAACACTTATTATTTTGAACCATAGATAACAATCATCCTAATGGGAAAATACCATTTGCATGTGCTAGTTATAAAAACTGTCTAGGGCTATGTAATTAGGGATGTGACAGCATATTATTTACCTTTTCAGGGGGCATTTGATTAGGAATTGAGTACAAATGTTATTTTCCCAATTCTAAGTAAATAGAACTTTTAAATGTGTAGAAATCCTGTTGTTTCTTTTTGTGTTGGCATAATACATTTGCTATATTGTCTTTGTTCTGTTACCTGCTTTTACACTTTAGCATTTCTATAAATTAAAGCTCATTTGAATAAAAGTTGACATTGGAGGAAGGTCACTGGTGTCTTGAGAGTTTCTGTAATCTCTACCCTTAGTTCACTTAACTGTAGTAATTACCTTTGAATTATTTAAATCCTTTTTAAAAGAAAATAGCCACTTAATCTTTGAGGAACAATTTATACCAACTGAGTAATAATGAATCCAGATATCTTTATGTTTTGTCTCTAGCTTCTGGTATGTGTCATTTGATATGGGGGAGGGTGTTGAATAGATTTAGGAAGCAAGTTGTACAGGCTGGTGAGATTTTGTTTGATGGATGTAGTGATGATAGAACTAATATGGGTTTCTCTATAATTGTGACAAAAACACAAGCCTGGCAAAAGCAATTAATTGCTCGAGAATAATCTCCTGGGCTAGAATGTAAGTGCAAGTTCAACTTGAGGCTGCTAATACCTCTAAATGCCATACCGTAGTCCCTAAAAGTTCCTCTGGCTCCTATTGAAATAGAAATGCACATATAACTAACACTTTTAGCTGGTTTGGAGTAAGTGTTTTTGTAAAGCTCTATACTTTTTCCCCAACTTATGCTGAAAAATTTCAAATATACAGAAAAGTTAAAATAGTATAATGAACATTTATATACCTTCCTCCTTAATTCAACAGTTGTTAATAGTTTGCTATATTTGCTTGATCTATTTATATTTTTTGATGTACCAGTTGAAAATTGCAGGTATGAAAACTCTTCATCCCTAAATACTTCTGCATATATATGTTGAAAATAGAGATTTTTTTTCCTATATAACCACATCTAAGAAAGCTGACAATAATTTTATTATGCTATCTACCATTCAGTCTATAGTTTGTTTGTTTTTTTAATTCTTTAAGTCTCTTTTAATCTAAAAGTTCTCTTGAAGTCCTCTTGTCAAGGGGAACACGGGAAATGTTGGAATGTGGTGTGTTCAGGAGAAATGGTTAGGGGTGCAGGCTTCAAGATCTTAATCTTTTATCTAGAACTGTTACTGAATTCAAGGGGTTCATTTGCCTGTGTGCATCAAAGGCCAATGAGACACAGACATGAACTTTCTTTGCAGCAAACATGGTAAAGGTTTATTTAAGGAAATGACTCCAAGCCTGGAGACACAGGTGAGCTAGAGCTCAAAGACCTGGCTCCCCTACGGCCTCTAGGGGATAGGTTATATAGGGGAAGATTCATTAGTCATGGTGCTAAGGGAGTTGGGGTTGTGGGCTTTACTGATGGGTCAGGGCTAAGGTAGGAGGTAGTTGATAATTACATCATCAAGGTGGGTCTGTCTGGTTTCAAGGGGATGTGGCCGATAGGGGGGTCATTCCACCTTTATGGCTCCAGCTGAAACACAACTGAGGTCAAGATGTTATCTTTAGTTAGACTGAAACTGTTTCTGTCAGTAGGGCTGTTTGATGTTGACCAGAATCCGATGTCCTAAGGGCTTAACAATTAAGGGAGTGGTCATGCAGTATGTGCAAAGGTGGAAGGATAAGGAAAGAAAAGCAAGTGAGTCATGGTGCTGTAAGACTTGACAAGGCCAGTTTGAATCTAGGAGAAAGAAAAGAGAAAGTTTAAAGAAGTGAAATTTTTGCACGGTTACAGTAGCTTTTGTTTGCTCTTGCATGCTTTGCCTAGGTTATCAGTCTTCTGCATTAAGATTTAGGAGAAAGGCAAGACTAAAATAACTTTTTTCTTCCTCCCTCTTCATTTTTATTTTTCCCTCTGCCATTACTCCTTAGTGCTTAGCACTTTTGTGAAATGCCTTTCTCTGGGCCTGAGGCAGTGATGATAGAAAGATGATTCAAAGATAGATTTGTAGTCAGGGTCTTCTAAGTAATCTTTGAGCAATAAAATAATTATTTGCCCATCAGTAGAGAAAAATACAGCTAGATTCTAGACATGTTCATGTGCACAGCCTTTTCAGAGAGCAATTGTCAACTTTTGAGACTTTCTTTGAATTGTGCAGGTTTGGGGCACCTGTCCTGCTAGCCTTGTGCCTTCTGGTGAGAATACTGGAAATTTGTCCTGCCTTTCTTTGTGGCAGTTCCAATACATTTCTGCTCCTTGAAGTTGCTCCAAGCTCTGTGCCTTGAAGTTGTTTTATATTCTTGGTTATGGTGGATTTAACACCTAAATTAAAGCTTTAAATCTTTTTTTCTTTCTCCCTCGCCCCCCTCCCCTCTTTCCTCCTCTTCTTTGTTAACAATATCATAACATTAGTTCTAAAAATTTAGGAGATATATTGAGATGTGATTGTATTGATTTGTGTAAAGTTGATATTTGATCGTACATTTCTTCACTAATTTCCATATTGCCCAGTTCACCCATGGGGTGTAGTGTTTTACCAGAACTAAGAGAATTTTAAAAAATCATAAGAGGTTTCAGTGCCCAGTTTTTTTCAGATGATGATCTAGATTAGAAAGCTGTCTGATGCCTCATTTATTAGTTGAAAGGGTTAGACTAGATGACAACATTCTTTGCAATTTTAAAATTGCATAAATCGCTGTACATACTTATAGATACACATATGGAATTTCTAGAAGGATTCACAAGACACTGGTAATAGTATTTGCCTCTGGCAAGGGAGACTAGGAAACTAAGTTGTTAGGGAAATTTCTCAATTTGAATGTTTTCCTTGGTAAAGAAAAGTAATCTGAAACATAATATTCTACTAAAACTGATACAATAGACTCACTCATATTATGTGGTTATTAAAAAGGACTCCAAAGCAATATAGAAAAATTATGAATTAATAAATGAAAAGTAAGCGATTATAACTATATAAAGTATACAAGTGATATTGGATGGTATGTGAAGAAATGAAAACAGTGGTGAGATTGTGAACAAATTTTTTTTTTTCAAAAAAAATCTTTTGAGAATTTAGTCATTCATTAACTGACTTATTTTTGTTAAACTAAAAGGAACATGAATTCTAGAGCAGCCCTTGAGGCCTGAGGCCAACACCAGAGTAAACTGGTCATGTTCCTGAAGAAAATGGCTGCGGCTGACAGAGTCCAGAGAAAGGTGGAGATTAATTAGTGCAGCAGTAAACATACCTTCAGGCTCACGATGTAAGGATGATGATGATAATAGCTAACCTGGAGTGCTTACCATGTGCCAGACACTTTGCCAGGCACTTTGGTCTTATGGCCTCAGTTCACTCCATAGACCTGTTCACTCACCCCTCATTGGTAAGCAGTGGTGCCATAAATGGAATCAGTCTATGTACCTGATGCTCACAACACTACTTTGTACACTGAGCTATTCACACCTGCCTGGCTGGCAGAAAGCTCCACAATGCTTCCTCAGTGCCTGGACCCCTGCTGGCTCTTCCCTGGCTGGAAATGATTTGGCCTCCTCTGCTTTTGCTCTCTTTGGATAGCTAGTACAGAACAGAGCCCAGCTTCGGATAAAACCTGACGCCAAAGTATTCACAGCCACACCTAGTGTGTCTTCTCAGCCTAGCTCTGGGCCACTTGCTTCCTGCTTCTGCTTCTCCTGCTGTGCCCCTGTTTACTTTGTCCCATTGTTCCTAAAACTACAAGTAGATTTTTTTTTCGTGAGCTGGGGGAGGAGGATAACTATTATAACTCCTTCAGCCACCCTTTTAAACCCCAGTACAGCCTGAGACAAAAGTCCACGCTTGCCACACCCTTTTTGGCCATTGTCTTTTCTCCTATGATAACTCTTTTTTCCCCTTGTACCGCCAATCTGCCAGGAGACTATTTCCCAGAATTCCTTTTTTGCATTGTTCAAAGTTTTATTGTTATTACCTCATTTTAATTGCCAGCTCCTGCCTGAGTTGATCTAAAAGGAAGAGCACAATAGCTTTCTTGTAGCTGTTGTCTGATAACGTAACAGTTTTACAGATTGCCTAATTTACTTTCTTGGACCCCATTCCTTTACTGAGAACTTAGTGGAATTCATGCAGTCATAGCTGACTCAAAGCTGTGGTGATCTTTTACTGAGAGAAAGGTCAATACTGAGGGAAAAGATCAAGCCACTAATGCAGGAGTAAACCAGATTTTAAAAATAGTATCTATTTGATGTGCCCCGATCTTAAATTCAGTACAAGTTACCTACCCAGCAGTGCCAGTCTAAAACATCAAAATGATTAATAAGTATGTGTTTTTAATCAAAGCATGAATTTTTATAGCTCCTAAGTCAAGGCACTGAAAGATGAAAGTTTCACAATTTTTTTTTAAACTAGAATTGCCTTTGGGTTGTTAAATCTTAACCACCTAACATTTAACACATAGTCTTAAGCAAGCCTATATATCCTTCATTCCTGAGAGTCAATTTTGATTGCTCTTGATTTAGTTTATTTTCTAATTTCTTTCATTCTTTAGCTTTTAAGTTTTCTGCTTTGACATTCTAGAGATGAGTTAGAGTTGAGACATCTTTCCATTTTGTTCACTTTGAAGCATTCAGTGGTGGGCTCAGATCAGAAGGACAGCTGGCTCCTGAAGGGCCACAGGGGTTCAGTTTGAGTGAAGGGCGACTTCTCCAATTGGGACTAATTTTGTGTTCTTTAGTTTCCCACAGTCAGATCACCCGCCTCTACAGCCGGTTCACTAGCCTGGACAAAGGAGAGAACGGGACTCTCAGGTAGGCAGTTCCTTTCTTTATTTCCTGGCAACGACTGAATAGCTGCCTTTATCCGAAGGGCAGGCATGGTAGGCATCCAGCCTGTGGAGAGCAGGGACCATTTTTTTTCACTGGTCTTTGAGTTTCATTGACCCAGAAGAGAGTTAAATAAGCAGAACAACGACATTACATTTATCACTAGGTGTTTGCTGCTTTACTCCAATTCCCTTTAGTTTGGGTGGCCATTATTCTGGTACCAAGAAAGTACTTTTGAGAATTTCAGCTCTCTCTGCTTGATTTTCCCCACAGCCCTTTCCCAAACGTATTAGCTTTTAGGAAGTTGACCCATAGCCATCCAAGGTGTCAGGTTGTTTTGTCCTCTCTCTTCTCATTTTCCAAAACAGCCATTAACCCTAGGGTACATCACTTTATATGTACTAATGTTAGATAAGATATTCAGTATTTTAGTCCAGAACAGTGGTTCTCAACTAAGGGCTATTTTGCCCCTGGGTAGCAAAATGTATGGAGACATTTTCAATTGTCATGACTGGGGAATGCTACTCTTGTCTACAGGCCAGGAATGATGCTAAACATCCTACAATGCACAGGACATCATCTCACAACAAGAATTATTCTGCCTTGAATGTCAAAAGTGCCACCGGTCTAGAGTCAGCATATGATTTTATAGTAATGTAATGCTATATCATTTTATATTTATAATTGTCTTATCATGGTTAAATTAAATACTTCCTTAACATCACCTTACAACTTGACTCTTAGCAACAGCTTTTATTATTGTCATTCGTTAGATTTGATTGACTGGTATAGAATGAAGCTGCTTGCCTTTCTGGTGGCAGGCAGGAAACAGTTTAGGACTTTATTTGGAAGGCTTCTAGTACAATTATGGGATGTAGCATAAAGGAGGAAGGAATATAGTTGTTAAGTTTTTGTACATAATTCTAAGGCAGAAGAGCTAAAGAATGCTGGTAAATCTGTAGGGGCATGTTTGCTCAAGGCAAAATCTGTAGTCACTGGAAGCTGGATTGACCAAAACCATACTGCACAGCCATTAAAGTCAATGACTGTGGAATACCTACCATGTACAAAGACCACGCTATGTGCTTTTTATTATTTTTTTAATTGAAGTAAACCTAAAATTTACCATTTTAAAGTATACAATACAGTGGCATTAAGTATATTCACAACATTATGTAACCATAACCACTGTCTAGTTCCAGAACATTTTCATCACAGATGGAAACCCCTTACCCATTAAGCAGTCACTTCCTATTTTTCCTTAGTGATTGTCCCTGGCTAACCTACTTTCTTTCTCTCTCTGGAGATTTCATATGAATGGAATCATACAGTATGTGGCCTTTTGTGACTGGCTTCTTTTATTTAACATGATGTTTTCAAGGTTCTTTCATGTTATACCATGTATCAGTATTTCATTCCTTTTTATGGCGGAATAATATTCTATTGTATGTATATACCAAATTTTGTTTATCCATTCATTGGTTGGTGGACATTTGGGTTGTTTACACCTTTAGGCTATTAAGTATAGTGCTACTATGAACATTTTTGTGTAGACAATTCTCTTGGGCATATATCTAGGAGTAGAATTTGGGTCTGTGATAATTTTATGCTTAATTAACCAAGGAACCACCAAACTTTTCCGAAGCAGCTGTACCATTTTACATTCGTATCAGCAGTGTATGAGAGTTCAAACTTCTCCATATCCTCACTAACACTTATTATCTGTCTTTTGATTTTAAGCATCCTAGTGGGTGTGAGTGGTATATCTCATTGTGGTTTAGATTTGCATTTCTCTAGTAGCTAATGATGTTGAGCATGCGCTGGTTGATCATTTGTATATCTTTGGAGAAATGTCTATTCACATCCTTTGCCTGTTTTTTTAATTGGATTATTTGTCTTTTTGTTGTTGAGTTGCAAGAGTTCTTTTTATAATCTAAATATTAGACCCTTTTCAGATATAGGATTTGCAAATATTCTGTAAATTCTTTTCACTCTAAATTGTTTTTTTAAAATACAAAAGTTTTAGATTTTGATGAACTCCAATTATCTGATTTTTCTTTGGGTACATATGATTTTGGTGTCACATCTAAGAAACCATTGCTAATCCAAGGTCATGAAGATTTACTCCTATATTTTCTTCTAAGAATTTTATAGTTTTAGCTCTTATATTTCAGTCTTTGATTCATTTTTGAGTTATTTTATGTATGTATATACAAAATACGTATTTTTGTATACATATGCAAAATACATATAATATATGTGGTAGGAGATAATAGTCAAACTTATTTTTTTGCATGTGGGTATCCGTTTCCAGCACCATTTGTTAGACTATGTAAATTTACAGTTGAAAAATAAACTAGACTAGAAATCTCTACTTTTTTTTCTTTCGGCTCCAATATTTGAATAATTTACTTGAGTTTGGAATTACATCTTCATAAATTCAGATTTAATCACTAAGTAAGGATATAGATTCGAATTAGTTGTAAGTCCTTTTTTTCTTTGTAGAAAGTGCATGATTTGTAAATGTGTATGTTTTAATCACTTTCACTATTTGCTGGAAAACAGTAGAAAAGCTTTTGTAAAAGGAAACGTTTCTCCTTAGAAAGGGGTGAAAACTTTCCAGAAGTCAGCTAGTGTTACTTTTCCTTAATATCTAGGTAAGATTTGCTCAGCCCCTAAAACACCATTTCACACTGTGGAAAGCCAATGAATTAACTCACTATTTGGTAGATTTTATTAAGTGCCTGTGATGTATTGAGCACTGTTCCCAAGTGTACATTTTTGCTGACATTTCAGAGGATTTTAGGGAATGAGAGGAAGTAAATGTGTATGTGCCCACCATCCCTCAATCAAAAGTCAGAAACAGCCTTGCAAATAAGCTAGTCTGGCCCTAGAACACTCAAAACAACCAGCAAAGGACGATTTAGCACTTATTGACACTGTATATGAAGAGAATTCTGTTATCAAAAAAACAAAATTATTTTGTCAATTTAATTTAAAGTATTAAATGCTTTTTGTAATAGAAATTATTTCAATGTTAATAAATACAATTATATTATAAATATAAGTAATAAATGACATCTCTATGATATAGTTCTTAAATATGGAAAACTTTTCTTAATATACTCATTCCCATGAGTATATTCTTTTAACAAATTTTGATGTTCTCATTATGTAAAAGTCATCTAAGCATTGATCCTGGGTACTTGAAATATAAGCAGTTAGTTGTGAGGCCACATCTCTGAGTAAGAGAAGGGTCTCGCACAGTGAAGATCAGTGTAGAGGGCTGGTCTCTCAACCTCTGGTTTGCCAGAGCGTCCCTGTGCCCGTGAATGTCTGGAAAACCACTCTTCAGTGGGAACTTCTTGGCCACAAAGACTTGCCTGCTACCAGTAATGTCTTTTCTTTAAAAATCTTTGAGGACGATTTTCCTAGGTATATTATGAGGTAGATTATACTATTGGTATGCTTTTTTTATGAGTACACACAAATCTACATTTTGAATAATCTTACACTTGGGGTGTAGGCTGCTTGGAGTATTTTTTTTATTAGATTTGTGTTGGTAGACAAGTTTGAGAAACTAAGTTTAGAGAAATTGCCCGTACAACCTTCATTCTACTATAAAACAACTAATAATAATAAACTATATATTGTTTAATAGTTTACAAACTATTTTTTATACTCTTTTATTTTAATTTTTATACTTTGAACAGTCTTCCCCTTGATCTTAATAGAACAGCAATGTATCTATACGATCTAAATTTTAAGAGAGTTTAAAGGTGTCAAAGGACTGCATTTAGGTTCTTGTTGACACTGAAAGTCCTAGACTAGATCCCTTATTCAAGCTAGGTTGTGCACTTGCCACTTAATACTAGACCTGGTATTTAAACCATGCCTTTTCTCAGCTAAAATTGCTTAAATGTCTTAGATACTAAACTGAGATATGTGGCCATGCAATTCAGATCAGCCTTAATCTTCATTTAAAGGAGAGTAGTTATTATTTCTTAACCTCTGTCAAACAAGAGAAGCTACATTTTGATGATAATGTGGACTTTGTATTATAGCACAAAGTATTTAATAAGAGCTTATAGAACATGTTTGTTAAATTAAATAATCAGGACCTCAGTAATTTCCTTTATCTTTTATCATCTTAAGCGATGCAGTTAAAATTATTACCCTAAGGGATCGAAGATTAGAATCCAGTTACTGTTCCAGAGCTTTGTGCTTAATCTCCTAGGTTAGTTTCTACCTGTGTCACCACCAGATGCGGTGGAGATGAACTGTTTGAATTAATTAAGCACTGTGTAAATGTTAAACCACAAGAAAAACTAGTGTTGAAGTCTCCTGGGTAAGTAGGAACATTAGCATTTAGTACAAAGAGGGTAGAGGAGTAAGTTTTACCTCTTGTTAGTAATGATCTTAAAGGCAAGAATCAGATTTATTCAAGGTTATATTCTTTCACATACTTTATAACAATTTACCAATTGTTAACATTTTGCCACATACTTCAGTATGTATTTCCTATATAGAACATTCTCATCAAAACCAAGAAATTTATAGAGTTTTGATACAGTACTATTACAAAATATTCCATATTCCAAATGTTCCATCTTCATTTTTACCTATTGGCTCAGTAATATCCTTCATAGTAATTTTTCTCCTACTCTGCGATCATGCATTGAATTTAGTCATATGTCTCTTTAGTCCCCTTTGATCTGGAACAATCTTCTGCCTATCTTTGTCTTTTATTTTACTGGTATTTTTGAAGAGTACAGCACAGTTAGTTATGTTGCAGACAGCTTTATATTCTTGGCACAGAATATCAACCAAGAAGTTTTTTAAAAAACACTGAACATTTTTGGGGAGAAAACCTTTCTTTCAAAATGTTTAATATGGGAAAGAAATGTGGTTTTAGGAGAAAAGAACATGTGCTTTGACTTACAGACTTAGATTTAAATCACAATTCTGCCACTTCCTAGTTTGTAGCACTGGGTAGGTTTATCTCATTGACTCTCAGTTTCCTCAGATCTAAAAGCGTATAGATAAAATGTTGGCATGAAGAAATGAGATAATGTATATAAACAGAGTTAGAGCAGCACATGATGTGTATACAGTGAATGGTAACTAATAATACTCACTTCAGCATAACTTCCAAGTTGTGAGAAGATGACTGTTCTTGTCATGTTCGAGGGTTCTATACTTATCTAGCTCTAGTCTGGAAAAGGCAATGGAGGAAAAAGCCAGAATCAGAGCAAGGAAGCGTGGAACTCAATTGCCACGTTTTATTCTTTCTTCGTCCTAAGTATTGCCTAAGAAGAGTTCCTCGGATTTCATAGGTGCTGTAGATCTTCCTACCAAGGGTACAGAGGCCTCTCTGAATTTTTGCTCCCATATTCAAGCTCTGTAGTGTTTGATACTCTGCATATGCTGTTCATTCTCCAAATTTAATAACTAAGTACAAAGTAGTAATGCTCAAGGAATCATTTACAGGGACAACTGAGTATTTGCTCGTCAGTGGTTTATTGATGTAACCAGTGTGCCAAATTCACTGGAATATGGCATAGTCAAATCTGGCTTCTTCCACTCCTGAGTTGGTGCAAGAAGCACTTGGCAGCTATCAAAGTGCTATTCTATGCAGTTATTTAATTTAATTTGCCACAGAAGTAAATTCCAGGAGGTAATACCCTTGCAACTTTGTACTCTTGCATGACTGAAGGAGTTCATGCTAAGGGCCAATGCTCTCTAACTCAAGGTGATTCTCATGGCAGCCGGGAAGATTTCCAGCGGATTCCAGAACTTGCTATCAACCCATTGGGGGATCGGATCATCAATGCCTTCTTTCCAGAGGGGTGAGTCCCTACCGTTGGGCTTCCTTTCTGAGGCTAATCAGGAATAATGATATGGGTTGGGTCATCTCAGACCACAACACTCCTGATTATATTGGGCATACCTAACTTGGTCGTATGTAGAATATCTCTTCTTTTCTACTCTCCTCCCCTTTTTTAAACTTCAAATAGGTATATGAGCCCATCTTCAAAATTCTGTCTTTAAGCTCTTTATCTTTGATATAAAACTAAACTCTGTAATTTTATTTAGAAATAATTTCAAATTTGCAGAAAAGTTGCAGAAATTGAAAATAGTACAAGGAACACCTGTATATATTTTACCCAGACGCAGCCGTTGTTATATTAACATTTTGCCTCATTTGTGTGTGCTCTTGTCTCAGTCCTAGTCAGTAAAATATAATTGAGCCACCTACATAATTATAAATTTTCTAGTAGCTACATAAAAAAGTAAAAATGAACAAGTTAAATTAATAGTGGTAATATATATTTTATTTAACCCAATATATCTAAAATATTGTCATTCAATATTTAATCAATATTTTTAAATTAATATATTTACATTCTTTTTATATTAAGTTTTTTAAATCCAGCGTGTAATTTATAAGTACAGTACCTATCAAGTGCTATAATAATGCAAAATATGTATTTTATTTTTTTCCAGCTGTATTGAAACATGATTAACATAGAACATTATGTGAGTTAAGGTGTACAACATAGTGATTTTATATATGTATGTATTGCAAAATGATTACCACAATAAGGCTAATTAACATGTCTATCACCTCACACATTTACTTTTTGTATTATGGTGAGAACTTTTATAATGTACTCTCTTAGCAGCTTTCAAATATACAATGCAGTGTTGTTAACCATAGTGCTGTGCATTACTTTGCCAGAACTTACTCATCTTATAGTGGAAGTTTGTACCCTTTGACCACCTTCACCTATTATTATTTTAGTCTAATATATTATTCATATTCCAACTTAATCAGTTCATCCAGTAATATCCTTTATATCACCTTTCCTCCCTGTAATGCAGGATCCAGTCTGGGTCCTTTGTCATGTCTCTTTAGCCTTCTTTAATCGGGACCATTTACACAACCTTTATTTTTCTTTTAATTGACTGAGGATACAGTTCTCTCCCACAACACACACACTTTCTCAAATAGATTTAAGTTTGTCTAATGTATGACTAGGCTTTTGATATGCTTCACTACCTAATACACTCCATTCAAAGTACTGAGTAAATATTTATTGATTTGATTAGGTACTTTTTCATGAATAAAACTTATCATATAATCTTGTTTTAAATCATCTCTTTAACGGTCTCTTCCTGGTTCCTTGTGACTTCTCTGTATGAACCAGAGGACTTAAAAAAGTTATATGCTTACCAGTTCTTAATAATGAGGCTAAATGTCAATGAGGACACTATCAGATAAAATGCCTGGAGAAGAAATTTTAGAACTCTGAATTGAGACCAAATGAGTTTGAGAAATTGAATCCTCAGTAAATCTGCGTGACGGAGAAACAGTAGCAGCTAGTTGGTGTGAAGACAGGAATCATATCAGACTGAGACCTGTTCTTTTTAGATTCATGTTGACCATGTATAATCTCCTGCCCTTCCTTATTTTCCCCTATTTCTGTCCCTGAACTGCCCTTTTTGTTTCAGGTGTGATTTTTGTGCTGAATTCTTCCATTTTTTCTGCTTCCTCTTTTAGCCCATGCAGAGCATTGAACCTTCTCCAGAGATAACATTTACAGATATCTTTTGTATTCAAAACTTTTGCAATGAAAAGTAAACCCAGTAGAGTCATTTTGCCAATTTGTTTTTCAGAGTTCCACAGTTATCACTGATTATTTGAAGAAGCAGCTTATGAAAAGTTGTTTTATAAGGCCAAACCACCTTTGTTTTGACTACAGTATTATTGCCTGCCATCCTACCCAGGGATTGGCTGCTAAGGACAATGGGCAGGTGTACATGAAGAAGCTGAAGCCCACACTGGGCTACACTGCTAATCTCTCAGCAAGCTGTTCCTGTGTTTCTTGCTCTGTCTAATCAGATACAGATTTTGGCTTCCGGGTTATTTTCTTCTCTAATCTTATGTAGATGGATTTTTTTTTTTAAGATAAGATTTGAAAGTGGAATGTTGGTATGTAGTTATCTTTTACTCAGAGACATTATGCCAGTAATATATGTACTCATAAACCTGTTTGACCTGGCATATGACTCATATCTTATTCTACATTACTTGATTCCTCAGATCTTACTCACATTTTTTACAAGATACCGCTCCATTTTGCTATAGCTGCCTTGAAGAGCTAAAGGTCATTCTTTTGAGTATAATGGGCTCCCGTCTCTGTGTGTCTACCTGGCACTTAAGAGACCCAACATACTGTATGGGTTCAGTGGGGCACATAGACTGGGAGTTATTTTTAGATAGCCACAGGAACCAAGCAACCTGTTCTTTCCATGACTGCTTTAGATAAAGGAATCTGTCACATGGGACTTTCTTTTTTGATATTAAAGAACATTCCTCATTCAAGTTTTTAAAATATTTTTTTGTAGAATTATTGATTAGCCTATGCTCAATAAAAAGATTTTCTTTAAACTTTAAGTACCAAAAACCTTTATACACAAAGAGGTCTTTCAAAACATTATGATCATGAAAAATGGGGGTAACATCTATCCAATTATGAGGGAATAATAGAATCATGATACGACTACACAATTATGCTGATATTTAAAATGTTTGGAGATTTGCTTAAAAGTTGATTGGAGATATGCTTAAAAGTTTTAAAAATCAAGATATAGCAAAACTTTGTGTGCAATATGTTCACAATTACCCAAAAAACATAGAAAAATTACTGGAAGAAAATATATTAGTGATGATTGTCACTGATAGGTAGAACTAGGAATGGTTTTTTTCTTTCCACTTTTTTTCCCAAATTACCAGAAATGTATTTATTGCTTTTATAACTAAGTAAACTTTATTTTAAAAACAGCTTGTCCATATTAAGATTAATATTTTAACCTTAAAATATTACTAGGTATATGTGACTGCAGGAGAGACATGGGAGGTGGTTGGGGAATCACTGAGTTGAATGACTACCTTACTGTTTGCGGCAGAATCTGAAGCAATGAGTTTAAGTCCTGCTTGCCTGGTTGAGTAGCCCTGAAGCTACCCAAAATCCTCTTTGAGAAAAGATACACAAGTAAATTCAATAGGTGACTGATGCTCGTTAATCATTTATAAAGTGGAAATAATAATGCCTATTTCACAAGGTTGGGGTGAGGCTTAAGTGAAGATATTTTTATGAGCCCTAAAGTACTATGCTTATGGAAAGAGACCTCGTTAAATGGACTTTCAGGCTACTTTAGCTAAAGCTATTTCCAATATGTTAAATTCATAAGAAGTAATCACCCTGATTGACATGGTGTTCTGTTTGTTAATATTTCCCAATCAGAGAGGACCAGGTAAACTTCCGTGGATTCATGAGAACTCTGGCTCATTTTCGGCCCATTGAGGATAATGAAAAGAGTAAAGATGTGAATGGACCAGAACCACTCAACAGTCGAAGCAACAAACTACACTGTAAGGAGATCAAGTCTTCCGGTTTAAAATATTTGCTTTTTATTTCTTACACATCATTTATTTACTCATTCATTTATTGAACAAGCATTTACAAGAGCATAGTGGTTAAGAGCTCAGACACTGGAGCTAAACTGGCTGGGTTTGAATTCCAACTCTGCCACTTTTTGACCATATGACTTTGAGCAAGTTATTTAAAATCTTTGGGCCTCAGTTTTCTTTTTTATAAAATGGAATATTGAGGGGTTTCCCAAAGGGATGTTGTGAGGATTAAATGAATTAATATATGTCAAGTACTTTAAACAATGCTTGGAAATAAGAGTTAGCTATTAATATTATCCTTATAATTCATAGAATGCCTGCTGTGTGTCAAGCATTGTTGTAAGTGCTACGGTGATAACAGTGGAAAAGACCCAGCCCCACATGTAAAAAATAATGGCAAGATCCTTAGCCCATTTTAGAATTTGTTAGATACTGAATGTGACTTAAATAGGAGTGGACAGCTGGGTTAGTACAAGATATAATTTTTGATCCCATGCCTCTTGTCTCCTTTCTTGGGGTGTTTGTTAGATTTCCCTCTGCCCTTGTTGTTTCATATATGATATTACCCAACCTCTTACAACACTTCTCCAAGAAAGTGAAATTTAATTTCTCTTCATTCAATACAAGTCAACACTGGAATTGAAATTATATTGAATTGACTGAGCCCAAGCCGCTCTTGCAAAGGTACACAGTGGTATACAGAGAGGTCTAAATAAAGAAAAAGGAAAGGCTTTTTAGTATTAACACAAATATAAGTTATAGACTATAATGGCAAATTTACATATATTTGAAAAATCGTACATAAGACTTGAACTTTTTTTTTTTAGTTTCAAGTATATAGTACATTGGTTAGACATCTATATAGTTCATAAAACAGTCCCCCCATTCACATCCTCCTTCCCCTGACCCTCCACCTAGCCAGCATATTAATGCTAACTGCCTTCCCTATGCCTGTGACCATCCATCAGCTACTAATTTGTACTTCTTTAGCCCTTCACCCCATTCTCCCAGTCTGCCAAACCCCCACTCCCCTCTGTCCAACACCAAATTGTCCACTATATTGGTGAGTCTGTTTTTGATTAGTTTGTTCTTTTTATTCCTTAGATTCCGAATATAAGTGAAATCATATAGTGTTTATTTTTCTCTGTCTGACTTAAATACCTTCTAGGTCCATCAAAGCAATATCTTTTTCCATCCCTTTTTCATATGTAGGGGTCTTGTTTTCTTATCCTTTCAGCCACTCTATCTTTTGGTTAGAGCACTTAATTCTTTTCCATTTAAGGTACTTATTGATAGGAATATAGTTGTTACCATTCTTTATTCCTATTTCTGATACACGTTTTTTCTTCTTAAAGAAGTCCCTCGAACATTTCCTGTAATACTGGCTTGGTGGTGATAAATTCCTTTAGCTTATTTTTGTCTGGGAAGCTCTTTATCTGTCCTTCAACTCTAAATGACAACTTTGCTGGATAAATTATTCTTGGTTGTAGATCCTGGGTTTTCATCCTGTCGAATATATTTTACCAAGCCCTTCTGTTCTGCATAGTTTCTTTTGAGAAATCAGCTGCCAGTCTTATGGGTGCTCCCTTATATGTAATTATTTGTTTTTCTCTTGCTGCTTTTAATATTCTTTCTTTGTATTTAACCTTTGGCATTTTACTTATGATGGGTCTTGGTGCGGGCCTCTTTGGATCTCTGATTTTTAGAATTCTCTGAGCTTCCTGGGGTTTTATGGCCATTTCTTTCACCAGGTTAGGGAAGTTTTCCAGCATTAACTCTTCAAACAGCTGTTCAACATCTTGATTTTCTTCAGTTACGCCGATCAGATGGATATTTGGACCCTTAATAGTGTCCCATATCCTCCTTAAATTATTTTTATAGTCTTGGCATCTTTTTTCTTGCCATTCTGATTGAGTGTCCTGATTGGCTTTCCTGTCCTCTAGATAGAGCATTTGATCCTCTTCTTTATTCACTTTTTTATTCCATTTTAATGTACTTCTCATTTCAGATAATGTGTTCTTCATTTCAGACTGGTTCCCATTTAAATTTCCATTTCCATTTTTGTTTTTTATGTCTTTGTTGCGGTTCTCACTGAATATATCTACACTTCCCAAAAGTTCACTGAGCATCTTTATAACTAGTGTTTTGACTTCTGCATCTGTTAGATTACTGGACTCCATTATATCTAGATCTCTGTTCTCTTCTCTTGTATGATTTCTGCTTCTTTGTCTTCTCATTTTGGCTCCCTTTCTGTGTCTGTTTCTATGTCCTAAGCAAAGCTCTTAAGTCTCCCGGCCTCATTAGTGTGGATTTGTGAAGTAGGTGTCCAGTGGCACAGTCTTGAGAGGGGTTTAGCTGCAGGCCAAACTTAGCCCAAGCCTCTACCCCTCCGGGGCGACCTGTTAAGATTCAGCAAGCAATCCACAGATGCTGTGCTTATAGTTGCCTCAAAAGGCCACACCAGAAACCGAGGCCAGCTGCCTCCAGTGTGAGTCTAGGCGCTGCTCAGCAAGAAGTACCTAACTCGCTGAGGATATACCTGTATGTGGCTTTGGAAGAGCTGGGAGTTGGGGGAGGCGGGGTTTCAGGGAATCTTCTAGGCAGAGCGACTTCTGTTATCCAATTTGATGATGTCACAGCTATGGTGGGCACTGTGTCCGTGTACTGGGAGGGGTAAGGGCTCAATGGGGAACAATGGATACTGCCAGCACTTCTGTACAGAAGGAGTCTTACATCGGTCCTCACTCTGACAATGTCTCCCTGTAAGTCCCTGGTGCCCCCTGCACGCAGCTGAATCGGCACTGGTGCTCAGAGCAAGCAGGTCCGTCGAAAATCAGCACACAGACACGGCCCCTTTAAGAGGCTTCTGCCACTGCTGCTACCACAGCCTCTGTCTCACTCAGCCACTGGAAATTGGGCAGCCCCGCGTCCTTGCCCCATCCTACCTCTGCCATTGTAGGGTGATTTCCTGGACTTCTCCCTAGTTGTATGGCTTATTCATCTATATCCCAGGTAATTTTTCCTTACTGCTCCTCCTTATTACTATAACAACTTTAATTTGGTCACCAGAAGGATGAACAAAGTCTCTATCATCTATGCTGTTTTTTTTTCTCTCAAGACTTAAACTTTTGTTTTGTGGCCCTTGGGCCATATTCCCAGTCTCCCTGTCTACTCGTATGAGTTCATACAAAGGGTATGAGTGTACTCCTCTGTTGATACTTCAGGAAGAGAATTTAAGAGGCACTGAAATAAGTATTGTTAATAGGATAGGGAAGATTTTTGAACCAAAATAATAAAATACTCTTCTTTATTACAAGATCATATACCTCAATGAAGAAGTAGAACACTTAAATACAAACAAAACAATACAGAAGAAAATAGAACTCTAATTAATTATTTTCAGATTTATTGGATACTTTATTAGTGAATTCCAGTTTCTTTCAAGACTAAATACTGTTTGAGACAAAGCCATGTGCCTTTCATTTTAAGAGTTTTAGCATATATTTAGTACGTTTGTCTGATTCTGACATTAATAGAGTAGAAGTTTTTTTATTCAGTGTTGTCAGATAAAGAATTGAAAAATTGAAAAAGTCAGCTATAGCATAGAATCATAGAAAAGAATATATGGTTTAACATTTTATTTTACCCTAAAATATTTAGAAGTACATTCACTGGCTAATATTTTGATATAGGACCAAGAGTTGTTTTAGTATAGGTCTGCTGTTAGGAGTTATATGACTTCTTTTGTAGAGCACATCTATAATGTATAGTCTAAGGTTTCTAGTTGCAGAATCTTTTACGTGGAAAGAGAGCTTAAAGATACTTGTAAAGCATTCTGAGAATAGAATCTTTCTAAATATTTACATTTTTTTTCTCAATCTTTTTTAAAAAATATATTCTTTTTATTAGTTTCAAGTATACAGTATATTGGTTAGACATTTAATAGTTTATAAAATGATGTCCTTAATTGCTCCTTCTCTCCTCTGGTTTTCCACTTAGCCAATATATTAATGCTAACTGCATTCCCTATGCCGTGCTCCCCATCTCTGTGACCATCTATCAACTACTAATTTGTACTTCTTTAACCTTTCACCCCATTCTCCCAGCCCCACAATTTCCTCAATCGTTTATAGTTGCCCTGCCGTATTTACCTTTGCAGCAGTTTTTTTTCAGTGACTTAATTTTGAGTCATTTAGAAGTAGTCAATCTAATTTTCTTAGAAACAATAACTTTCCATATATATGTTTTATTTTTTATTAAGTTATATAGTTTTATTAAAAGTACAGATAGTACAAACAGTTTTAGGACTGTTGATACACCAGACTCTTGGTAAACATCCAACTCAACAGGTGAAGTGGACACTCTTGTAGCATCTCAGCTACAAGTATACAGTATGCTGCCACATCAGCTGAAACAATTTGCAGAGGGCAGGGAGAATCTGTGAGTCCAATGAGTTGATTAGGGAGAAGACAGTTAAGAGACCGTCTATGCTCTATGAAACAAACTTGCTTGTTTTTCTAATCCAGGATTAGAGGAGACTTTAAAGGTCATTAAGTCTAACACAAACCTATTACCTGAATTCTCTGTACAGCATGGGCTCTACTTTTCCCAAATCATGAGTTCCCTTGGCAGTGTGGTGAATCCTATTGACCCCATCTCAGAATGTTTTTGAATGGGTAAAATAAAATACACAGGATTATAAAGGAAACTAATTATATTGAAATACAATTGAAATATTAAAACAACATTGTGTTACAGTAACAAATATGCTTCTTTATTATACATTAAGTAACAGGATGTAAAGTTGGAGCACTGTGGCTTTGGAACAGCTCTGTGTCTGGAATGTAGTAGTGGTTACACAAAGCTACATAGGCGATAAAATTGCATAGAACTACACACACACATATGGTGAAATCTGAATATTCTGTGTGGATTGTACCACTGTCAGTTTCCTGGTGTTG